AGATTTCCATGATTTGCTTTATTAAGCCTGATATTTAATCTGTGTGATTTGGCCGTGGGCAGGACACTGTCTCTATGGGGTAGTGGGTGGGTAACAGTACAGAAGCTGCAGAGGGGTGGGTTAAACTACGACTCTGCTTCCTGGTCTGGACCCTGGGTTGTCATGGAGGACTAATAAAACTGGCCATGTTCCTAGAAAGAAGAGCTGCACCATCCAAAGAGGGATGGATGCCATCTCTCCACATCAGACCAGGTTTTCCCCAAAAAGTTTTCCAATTATCAATGTAGCCCACGTTGTTTTCAGGACACCACCTAGACAGCCAGCGGTTGAAGGACAGCATGCGGCTAAACATGTCGTCACTGGTCCGATCAGGCAGGGGGCCAGAGAAAATTACGGAGTCCGACATTGTTCTGGCAAACTTACACACCGAAGCAACATTAATTTTAGTGACCTCCGATTGGCGTAACCGGGTGTCGTTACCGCCAGCGTGAATAACAATCTTACTGTATTTACGCTTATCCTTAGCCAGCAGTTTCAGATAAGATTTAATGTCGCCCGCTCTGGCCCCAGGTAAACATTTAACTATGGTTGCTGGAGTCTCTAATGCCACGTTTCTGACTATGGAGCTGCCAATTATCAGAGTCGGCTTGTCAGTGGGTGCGTCACTGAGCGGGGAAAATCTATTCCTATGTAGACATGTATAACTATGTATGTATATATGTATAATATTTATTACTTTATTGGTATTTTGTTATGTTTACTGCATATCAATCAAGAACAGTGTTTTTGGTGCTTCAGTGTCATGAACACATTTCACTCATCCCTTCTTTGGTTTATTTTGTTTATATTTGTTATATATATATATATATATATAGATAGATAGATAGATAGAAAGGGGCTGAATTGATCACCAGCAGAGTTTTCACCGGCCCGATCACCGCCACGACATCCCTCCTCCCCCCTGGCATGGTGGTTCAAAGGATCAGACCCGGTACGAGCCCCCCCGCCACATCTCTTTGCCCGATGCGGAACATCGGACAAGATAAGGGCTGGATATTCTGCTTGTGTAACCGTGTCGTCGCTGACGCCATCAGCGCGCAGCAACAGAGAGTCCGTTAGCCTGACGGACTCTCTGTTAAGAACCCAGGTATTCTGCATGAAAGTCAGACAACTTACTAGGTGAGCTAAAGCACCAGTGACATTGAATCTATCTGTAACATTTATATCCTTGATGACAGCTGAAACAACGTCAATCCAAAGAACGGTTCAGAGCGAAAATGGCTATTTTGTTGCTAATTAGCAGGAAATATCTAGAAGAAAGTTGTACAGAAAGTAGCTAAGGGTCCTCAGAAATGTAGCTAGGTTCGTCACTAGGCGTTAGGAACAGCGACAAAGTGGCACTGCCTCTCTCTCTGCTGCTAAAGCTACGGATAGCAAATGCTACGGGCGATGCCTGAGCGTGAACGCGCATGAAGCAGCCTGCTCGACCCGAGCATCTCTCTTTTTCTGTGATTTTACAGAAAAACAGGCAATCACAGTAAAGATGCCAGGGCTCATTCTGAAGAAGAAATGTATTATTTCTATACATGTTTTGGCTGTCTAACTTCCTTAGAGTCCCTTTAACTGTAAATATCAGATGAAAAAAGGAACTAAACACCAATCTGTTGCACATTAATGAGCCTTTTATAATAAGAGTCTGTTATTTCAGCCTGATAATTTTGTTGTTTAATTTCATATTTATCTGCAGCAAACCAGTTCAAACGTTGTCTAATAAAATATTCAGTTAATCAACAGAAGCTTAGATTGGAACACTTAATGAAAAAATATTTTGCCTTTAAAACGTGAGGCAGTTGAATGCACAGAGGATCATGTGCTGGCGCATGGTCAGGATGGTACCACCTCTGCCTCGATTTGAGCCAGGAAAAACCCCGTAAAGACAAAGGACTGTTCTTATTTACAATATGTACAAGCAATCAAAACAGAATTAAAACAATTTTTAAATACTGAGAAGCGGGCTATACAGGGCCACATATATGTCGCACGTGCGATGAAAAAAACCCCTTTGTGCGATAAACTATTTTTAGACGTAGCAAGTTAACCTCCCGGAACTTTATTGAACAAATTATACCTGCAAACTTGTTTCTGAAGTCAAATACGGCGTTCCAGTGAATCGCATACATCCAAAAACTTTGTGTCTCGAGGGGATGAGGGTCTCCTGTCGGGTTTCAGCCACTCTTTATGAGAATCAATCAGAGAAAGGAGGGGAGCTTCCTCTTGTTCACGAACTATATTTGTCCTAGCGTGTCTGTCACGTGTTGTCATTTGACCAATTAGTCACACGCTGCAGAGGTGGAACAGCGCGGCGCTCACTGTGATTATGATGAGTTTCAACATCTCGCAGGAGTTTAGAGCTAAACGCTTGTCGAATGATACAGAATCACCACTAAATCCCACGGTTTTCTGTCAAGAACAGATTTACCTCCTTTCAGCCTTCATAGTTTTTCCTCCGAGGCTCTTTTATTTATTATTATTATTTTTTTTGGAGTTGAGTTTCGGAGTAAACACCACCGGTATTTAACCCCGATAAAGCCTAATAACATAAATATTTTTTCTGATATAGGAAATGGCTACCAGTGTGCTACAGCCTGGCCCGTTTAAAACAAACCCCAGCAAATGGATCTGGGCACCAGAAGATTTAAGGACGCTGGAGGAGAAACACGCGATGAGATCATTCCATAAAATTGTGACATTTCTGCTTCATTAAAGAGTCAGATCAGCATTTTGCCTTTAGCAGTGGTTTATGAAAGTATTCAAGCAACCAGCTGGGATGACGCTGCATGTGCCTGCAGCTCTTTCTACACACTTAATCAGACCACACCAATAACTTCTTAAGGATGACTGCAGTATTCTGGAATATTTTCAGATCTTTTCATGTTTGGTGTTCTGTGAATCGCTCTTATAATGAACCCTTGAACAATGCTATTAATATAGATTTTAAATAAAGTCGGGTCCAGTACCGACTCTTGAGGAACGCCCATAGATAGAGGTAGAGCAGCAGATTGGTAACCGTGTGTTCTCACTGGCGTTCAACCTGAGATATAACTTCTACACATGCTACGTATGCCTGAGAAAGTCCGATATGTTTGAGCCTACTAAGTAAGATGTTATGGTCTACAGAGTCAAAGGCTGTAGCCAAGTCAACAAACACAGCCACACAATATCCCTTATTGTCAATGGCACACATTATGTCATTTTGCATTTAAAGTGTGGTAGAGACACATCCACGGCCAGTTCTGAAGCCCGACTGCAAGGGGGTAAGAATACTGCTCACCCGGGGAGCCCGAAAAAAGATCCTACCCATATTAGGTTATTTGTATAGACTCAGCATACTGGGGATTCTTTTGAGTGGAGAGGCCAGTGGCAGAAAGCCGATTATTCATGTGCTCCAGGCAGCTGCGTGGCACCACCCAGAAAGTATAATCAACACACGGTTGTTCATGTCTGCTCCTACTCTCTGGTACTTTCTGTCTTTTTTCACGCCTGACACACTCCGCTGCTGCGGAGCTCATCACTTGTGCTCCGATGACCTCACATCACTGGCGTGGCCTTACAGCGCAGTCCGCACTCCACTGTTCAAAAGTAACTTGTGAGGTGAAAACACAGGAAGCCAGGCAACAGTTTTTCCTGGAGAACTGAGAGGAGATGCAGGAAGATTAGAAAGACAGGACTGGAAAATAAAAAACAAGGAAACAGTACGTCTCACCGCACCTCTTAGCTTGTATAAAACAATCATTTATTATCATGTATTCATTTTCTCGTTCGTCTGCGGACACACGAGCCCAACAGAAAGGGAGGAGACTTAGGCTCTCTATCAGCTAGAAGACAAAGGAAGGTGTTTTTATACAGCACCTCTTGATAAAATGACAAAGTACTTCACAAGCACAATATAACATTTAAAAAAGATCATTAACTCATTCGCCGCCAGCGTTTCTCACCGTTTTTACTGTGTTTTTAAGAGTCACAGAACGTTGTGCGCTAGGATGATGTCGACGCCAAAACAACCAAAACAAAGAGGAGACTCGCCTCTTACATCAGGAAGAACCCGCGTGTTTCGAGCGTTATCCGTTCTTTCATAATCCGTTGTTGAATTGTGATCGGCAGAAGCTTTTCCGGTTCGCGCCTCACTTTTTTTACAGAAACGGCCCAAAATGATCTCCTAACACATGGATGTTCTGCTTCCTGATCACGTGACGTGTGACGTGTCACATATGCAAATGAAGACCGGCTTCAGAGCTGAGATGTTTGTTCTCACGGTGCGGGGGCTCGTTCCGATGCCCACACAGTAAAAACATGCAAATGACGACTTTAGTCCTCATTGTCAGTGAATGAGTTAAAGATAATGTTACAAAAGAGAATGAATTTAGAGAAAAATCAAAGATAAAAATGAATACACACGATCCCCAGAGTACAGAATCTATAGAAACAGCATCATGAAGGGAAGGTAGTGATGAAGAATCCTCCGAAGGTCCTACCAAAGCCAGCTTGAAGTCTTCAGCTGCTTGTTAAAGGAGACCACTGAGTCCACTGATCTCAGGCTCAGGGGGAGAGAGGTCCAGAGTCTGGGGGCCACAGCAGCAGATGATCTGTCACCTTTGACCTTTAGCCTGGTGCTGCACAACCAGTAGGCTTTGGTCACTGGACCTCAGGGACCTGCTGGAGGTGTAGGGACTAGGGCTCTTTTTAACAATCACTGGTACAATACATCCAATATAACTTGAACAACATTACTGCTGCTGTACCAAAGCTTTTAGCATATCATTGCATTTTTTAAAGTTTATTTTTGTACATACATATATTTTGCTTAAACTCTGGTTTCATTTATTTGTTTGGCCAATTGCACCGTCTGAGTTCCTTCCGTTCTCTTGCAGGGACAATTTAGGCTTTCTGATTCTGATGAAGCAGATGTTTGCTTCTGACTGACTTTGTTCTGAATTTCACAGGAATAATGAACAATGTCATCAAGAAGGCAAGAGAAAAGGGGAAATGGAAGGTAAGTGTTCATCATCGTTGCCACTAGTATTCACCCTTAGCTGCTCTGAGATCAGCTCCCCTCCGTGTGACTTGTAGGTGCTGGTGGTGGACAAGCTGAGCATGAGGATGGTGTCTTCCTGCTGCAGGATGACAGACATCATGTCAGAGGGAATCACCAGTAAGTCTCTCCAACGTTGGCTGACTGAAGTTTAACATATGACTTTCTCATGGTGGTTTACACTGAACACAGAGTGTGGATGAACATGGAGGTGTGTTCCCGTAGTAACAAAGTCAGTTTGTGAAAAATCAAACTGGGAGTGAACTCTCTTCATGACAGTTAACCTCCTGTGTTAGCGAAAACGTGAGAGAGACATGACATCAGGAAGGGCTCCAAAAACAAGAACTTTTACAGTTCGAACATCATTAAGTGGTCGTGTTTTATTAATTAGACCACCCTGACTACGCCTGACCTGCAGAAAGGAAATGTCTTGACATTAATTTATAAAAACACCGTTGTTCCATCATGGCGCGGCTTGAGCGGGAGCCTGTTACAGCAGCTCTGACTTCTTTACTAGATCTGTTGCTGGATTTAATCCTGCTACTTTACGCCCTCTGACTCCAGCTGTTTCTGATTTATCCACCTCACTCAGCGGTAGTCTGAACTCTGCCCGAGTGGTGATTCATTCCTTAGCCAGCTTCGGGGTTCTGGTCGTGGTGGAGGCCCAGAGACCATCTCCCATGTAGATCGACAGCCTCTGGTCGCTTTGCTTCCTTTGAACTGCAGCTGTTAAAGTCGGGCGTCAGGACCCGTTCTAGTGTGCTGTGACTCGTTGCCCACCGGGTCCAAACTGCTCTTTACTTCAGGAGTTTAGTGACGGGCAGTTCATTTCACCAGCCTGCAGTATAACAGCACATCACTGCCGTTCCTACACTAGAGGTGTGAATCTTCACTTGTCTCCTGATTATCAGGTCGACAATTCAAATCGATTTGATATCCCGATGCATCACAGTTATTTCATATGGATTTGTTTTCATTGATGAATAGAAGACGTCAGAGCTTTATTTTTAAATCAAAAACATGTCTGACACAACCTGCCATCCCCCAAAAGCTCTCATTCAACAACAGTCGTTGGGACAAAACATTTAAACATTTAAGAAGATTTAACAAAGTAAGAAATCTGTTTCCTCGTCCAACACCACGCCTCAGGCTGAGAAAAACACGCTTTGCAAAAACTCTAAATCTAAAAAAAATACTGAAAACCTACAGGACACGTCCAGTTCTCGCCTTTAGTTTAAGTTATAAAATACATAATGGGTTCATATGTGAGTGTTTAATGTCTCTGAGCAGCTCTAGAGTCAGATATTTATGCCGCAGTTGAAGGGCGTCAGAAATAACACCAAATGAAATGTTTGACTTGGTTTGTTATTTTATTTGAACCCAGCGGTTCGTTTCTGACATGTTGGAGAATGAATCAAGTTCTGTTTGATGCAGAAAATAATAAAACAAATTCTACACTCCAATCATATTTAAGATGTGTGTTTTATTCTTCCTGATAATAACACCAGCAGAAGGATGTGGGCTGGATTAGGATTAGATTACCCTGCTGATGGATCTCCTTCACTAACCAGCTAACTACAAACCTTTCCACTAACCTGTCCTGTGGGACCCTCACCCTCATGTCCATGCTGTCTCTGGAGGAGCAGATAGGAGACAAGTCCTCCTGTAACCTAAAATGAACCAAAGCTTCCTCCCAGTTCCTCTTTAAGCTGAATGTAACATCAGTTTATCATCATGAAACAAAAGAATAAAGTGGAACAAGAACTTCTATCTTCTATTTCTCTCTCCTTTTAACTTCTCCGTGTCCCTAAATAAAAGAGACCGACGATCACGCTGCAGCCGCCGTCACTGACCCCGCCCCCTCCCCAAGACCAGATGACGTCCTCTTCTATGATGCAGAATAGTTTATGCCCGCATCTCACGTATTGATTATTTGATTATTTTCCGCAGCTCTATCCATCCTACACCTCCCGGTCGTCCGTCGGGGGGTGGAGGTGCGTGCAGGGTTCGTGTGCCACAAAGAGGGGTCTCGCAGGCCGGACGTGGCTCGCAGGCATTGGCGGTTTTACCATTAGGCATAGGTAGGCGGCTGCCTGGGGCCCCCTTGTGTTGGGGAGCCCCCTAGCCCTGACCGCCAGCACCCCTCTGTTAATGCCACAATATTCTTATTACCAACCTGTGGCCGCAGACGGGATTGGACATGCGTACTTCTCATTACCATAATTCCTGAACCGTTCAAGATATCATTAAAATTCCAAAAGTGCTGAAAAGATTACAAATGGGGCTTTTCGTGCATATACAATACATTACGGTAGCCACCGGGATTCCCTGTCTTCAGCGCAACGAATCACAACAAAGATTCAGAGACGTGCTGAGTTTGTCGTCCAAAATGCTCCGTTTTATAACTTTTGAATGGCTGATCAGATTCAAATAATTCCAACGGTTCCTAAAAGTACATAAAAGCAACTTTCCAACGATCTATAGCATGAAGCAATCAGAGTTATGTAAATCCTGCTGTACAGCCTGAGTGAAATGGAGCACAGCGGAGCGGAGTGCCGTGTGTCCTTGGGTAAAACACGTAACCCACGTTGCCTGCTGGTGGTGGTCGGAGGGACCGGTGGCGTCTGTGCTCGGTAGCCTCGCCTCTGTCAGTGCGCCCTAGGGCAGCTGTGGCTGCATCGTAGCTCATCACCACCAGTGTGTGAATGGGTGAATGACTGATTGTGTTGTAAAGCGTCTTGGGGGGGTTCCAGGACTCAAGAAGGCGCTATATCAAATACAGGCCATTTACCATGTGTGTGTGTGTGTGTATATATATATATATATATATATATACCACCAGGTACCACCTTGCTACCACCAGGGACAAGAAGAGGCTGGAGCGTGTCATGCTCTCTGCTGAGAAGGTCATAAACTCCCTCCACACAGGACTTGTACACCTCCAGGACATTGAGGCGTGCAGGTCGGATAACAGCTGACTCGTCTCACCCTGGACAGTCCCCTTTGACTCTTTCCATCTGGCTGGAGGCTCAAATCCATTCGGACCAGAACCTCCAGCTGCTTTGTTCCAGTCACATGACCCTGTGTTGTGTTAGCACCTGAACTGACCCACTCTGACCAGAACCTACACTGACTTGTATAAAGTAGCTGCTTCTCTAACTGTTGATTACATATTATTATCATTTCATTGTGTTTATTTTTGTCTTGCACCAAGGACTGCAGCTGTTTCCTAATGTTGTGATTCTCACACATGTGGTAATAAAACCTTCTGATTCTGAATAATAATAACATATGTAATAACAACCATAACTGTCATACTGGAAAGAAGAAGGAAAACTACATTCAATTCAATTGAATTCAAGTTTATTTATATAGCGTCAAATCACGACAAGAGTCGTCTCAAGGCACTTCACATAATAAACGTTCCAATTCACAGTTCATTAAGCCAATCAGAAATAATGTTTCCTATATAAGGAACCCAGCAAATTGCATCAAGTCACTGACTAGTGTCAGTGACTATACAGCAATCCTCATAATAAGCAAGCATGCAGCAACAGTGGAGAGGAAAACTCCCTTTTAACAGGAAGAAACCTCCAGAGAATCCTGGCTCAGTATAAGCAGCCATCCTCCACGACTCACTGGGGATGGAGAAGACAGAGCACACACACACACACACACACACACACACACACACACACACACACACACACACACACACACACACACACACACACACACACACACACACACACACACACACACACACACGCACACACACGCACACACACAAAGACAAGTAATGCGTCTATAGTTATATTGTGATGTCTTAGTAAATATTCTATTTGGTGAGAGATAAACTTTATTGTATTTTTTATTTTTTTTATCTTTATTTCATTCAATAAAAAATAACACAACAGATACTAAACAATATTCATGAAAACACAATATATATTTGAATGAAAGGGAGCAGATAGAAGAAAAATCTTATTATTTCTGCCCCCTTTTTAAACCTAAATATCAGTTTATATTTGTGCAGTCCCTCACCAGTTCTTTCAGTCCCGTAACTGTTCACATCTGTTAATTATTATGTCCACATCAATTGTCCGTTGTCATATCCACTCAACACACGTGATTTAATGTGTAGACTGAACACTTTTAGAGTTCTTGACTCTTTCCATTCTCTGTCCAGGCAATTCCACAACTTCACACCATTCACAGATATGCTCATTTCCTTCATTCTTGTTCTAAATCTAGGTTTTTTGAAGATTTCAAATCCCTTCAACGAATAACTACTATCTCTCTTTTCAAATATATGCTGAATATTCTTTGGCAATGTACCTTTATTTGCTTTATACATTATATGCAATATTCTCCAGTTGACCAAATCATGAAATTTAATTACTTTATATTTTATAAATAATGGGTTAGATGGAGCTGTACTATGAGTGTTGTCTATAATTCTCATTGCTCTTTTCTGCAAAACAAACAAAGGTTGTGTATACGTTCTATATGCAGTTCCCCAGAGTTCTACACAGTAATTTAAGTATGGCAGAATCAGTGCATTGTATAGTAATAACAATCCTTCACTATTTAGTACAAAATTCACGCTATTTAATACTTCAATGGCTTTGGCCACTTTACCTTTTATATAGCCTATATGTGATTTCCAGCTTAGAGCTTCATCAATCATTTCTCCCAAAAATTTGATTTCTTTTACCCTTTGAATTTCCATGTTATCTATTTTTAATATTACGTCTATATTTTCTTTGTAATTAAATAGAATGAAATTAGTTTTTTTAAGATTAAGTGTTAATTTATTTATATCAAACCAGTTTTTAACTTTTATCAGTTCAATATTTATCACATGAGTTACTTCATTTATATCAGACCCTGAATAAAACAATGTTGTATCATCTGCAAACAAAACAGAACCTAGTTTGTCAGACACATTTACCAAATCATTGATATACAGGTTGAACAGTTTTGGTCCAAGGACTGACCCTTGTGGCACTCCATAAGCAATATTTCGTAGCTCTGATGTAATGCCATTTATCTGAACATATTGCTTTCTGTTATCTAAATAACTTCTGACCCATTGATGAGCAACCCCTCGTATTCCA